GCCCGTTAATAATTCTAAATACAGTACATCAAATCGTGATATATTCCAAGTTCGTTGGTCCTAGCTTCTTTCATTTTCAGCCTTTCAAGCATTTAGTCATCAAATAAAATCGGCCAATTAATTCAAGATGAATAGAATTCAAAACTGTACCTCGCAACATCACCAGAAGCAGGGAAAGTTGACTCAAGATGCAACTGGTTCGAGGAAGGCGACGGTCCGGAGAAGCTGTTGGGAAAGTAATTCGGGGCATTGCCGTGATTCCCATTGATAGCCATGAAGCCATCACGCTGATAATGACCCCAAGTCCTGGCATTCATGGGACAGTTCACTGGGATCTGAAGGTGATTCGGCCCCAGCCTGTGGCGCTGCGTGTCTCCATAACTGAACAAGCGAGCCTGCAGAAGAGCGACACCTAATTTCATTTTTAAATACCTGGCGAGCATCTGAGGTAAAACAGATTTCAAGAGGACGCTTGCGCGAACAGAAACATACCACCTGAACATTTCTTTCGAGATTTGCATTTGTTCTTCTAACGTCACAATTGAAGATTATTAACAATTTGATGTAAATTCCCGATATGTATCTGAAAAATTCGTTAATTTTTCCAAAACGGAAAATCGAATATTCAGATCTGATGAGCGAAATATTGCTGACCAGGAGTTGAGTTCTGAAATGTTTCTTCGTACATCAAATCTAATATCTAACCATGAATAATGTGCAATGTCCCCCCTTAGTAAAATTTACGTATCGCACGACAAGAGTAATTGGGGATCTAAAAGAAGAATGTATACTCCACCTGAAGCATCTTGTCCGGAGAAGCTTCAACACCTGGAATCATATTCGCAGGGTTGAAAGCTAATTGCTCGACCTCAGCAAAATAATTTTCAGGATTCCTGTCCAAAACCATCTTTCCAACGCGGATCAGAGGGAAATCTCCCTGAGGCCACACCTGAAATCGAAATGCGGAAATTTCAATTTCCCACGAGTTCCTTTCCAGAGAATTGCCCATAGCATGCTACCTTGGTGACATCGAACGGATTCCATGGGAGGGATTCCGCTTGTGCTTGCGTCATCACTTGAATGTGCAACGTCCAGGACGGGTTTTGTCCATTGCTGATGGCATTGAACAAGTCGCGGATTCCGTAATCAGGATCGTCTCGCGCCACATCGGCAGCGTCATCTGGCAGAAGATTCTGGATTCCTTGATCCGTCTGAGATCAAGATAACATCAGCAATTAGCCCCAAATTTTATTGCCAATCAACATTGCACAGTATTACTTCGGGGAAGTGACTCAGCTGTTCGAATTTCAAACGAACCAAAACATGGTCCATCAAAACGCCTTTCCTCGTAACCATCATTTCGTAGATAGTTCAGTGAATTAAGGGAGGAGATGAAACAGTTTAGTACCTTGAAGTGGAACTTGCAGTAAACGTGATCCCCAGAAGCATTGACCAGTTTGAAAGTGTGGGATCCGTATCCATTCATGTGACGATACCCATCAGGGATTCCCCGGTCCGAGAACAAGAACGAAACCTGATGCGTTGACTCGGGCCGCAACGACAAAAAGTCCCAGAACATGTCCGCATCCTGTCAGGTGACAAGTTGAAATTAATTCCAGCGATTCAACAACTCAACGACGGAATTCACCAATAATAATAAAAAACTCGAAGCATCGAGAAGATGGAAAACATGGCAATACCTTGAGGTGAGTCTGCGGGTTGCGCTTCTGCGTGTGAATAAATGAGGGAAACAGGATCCCATCGCGGATGAAGAAGATGGGAGTGTTGTTTCCCACCAGATCCCAGTTGCCATCTTCCGTGTAGAACTTGACTGCAAATCCCCGAGGATCCCTGTCAAACATAGCGATAGGTAACGAAAATTCAGCGGAAGAAATATTCTTGTCAACATCTCCAGAGTACTAATAAAGACAGAAATATCAAGCCGAATAAACTCAAATTTGCCAGAGGCACCTGTTTCAACGCCGAATAAAAATAAAAACGTTGAGAGAAAGTAGTTGACGTGCAAAAAAATCTGCAATTTTATTGCAGGAATTTATTCGGTGACCACTTGAATGAAAATATGCTGGAACCAGCTTGGGTCTCAAGAGTAATCCATGAATGGACAGATTTCATTTACAGTACAAATATATGTATGAGTATCGATGCGATGCACGAGAAGTGACAAGCGACATCTACCGGAGTAAAAAGTAATGCGACATCGCAATCGCTGAAACTTTTCAAAGAAGGAGGCAGAGTAAGTAACACTCATCACCCGCAGAAGCAACGGAATTGACAGCATTCAAAAAATCCTCCCGTGATTTCGAACGTTAACAACGCTAAAAATCAGAAGATGTGTCAGAAATCAGCTAGCTCGGATTTGAATATTCAGGCATTACTATACAGCGAAGTTCAAAAGAAATATCGCTCAATAAGCATATTTAGTAATGATAAATTTCGGAAAAAAATATCAATGAAAAATACCGGACGGTGTCAGCAGAACCGCTTTCCCCGCCAACCGTCGAGAATCGTACAGCTAAAGAAGTCCTTTTCCCGATAGCCGAGAACACGCTTGCATTCGTGTACTGCCGAATGTCATCCGTGACTTCGAAATAGCCAAAAGCCCCTGCGTGAGAAGACACAAAAAATTCCAGAAATTCATTGCTTTTTACCTGCAATTCTTTACTTTTTATTCAAAGTGAAAACATTAAGAAATGGACAAGTAAAAAATCAGAGAATTCGCTCAATAACCACGCCGGTTTTAGTTCTTTAAATGCAGAATAGGTCACGAAAATGCGAAGTCTGGCAAATATAGCGTAACGAAGAGAAGCAAAGGGAAATTATTCCAAAGTTAAAGACCTGCTATTTATTAAATTTATGCTGTAAATGCGAGCGCACGTCATCGCTTTCAAGCATTAAAAAAAAATCCCTCGACGCAAATATATCCAAGAATTTCAGAGATCACGGGTTCAGACAAAAAGTTCATAAAATGTTCAAAATAAAAACCATTTTCAAATATTAAAAAAAAAAACTTGGGTCGAAGATTATAATAATCTCTCTCGCTAATAATTTGAGCACCAGCTGGTGGTCGATTTTTCTTCGCGATGGGTTCAGAAAGTGAAGAATTTGCATTACCGGCTCCTTTCGCGTGCACGGCCCGTTCTGGAATCCTTTCCCTGTCGAAGTGGCTCATCTCGTCCAAGAGGACAGTGTCCTGAAGCAGAAGTGGTCCTCGAGGACCAACTGTCACGGACGCATTCTTGTTCACAATGGGTCTTCCGGTCGCAGTGGCCAAGACTCCGCCAATTTCTTGCTAAAAATATGAATCCCAAGCATAATCAAACGTTCAAGTGAAGAGGGATAAAAAATTCTTCCCTCATCCCATTGAAATTTCAGACGTCTATCGCAGTTCAGATGGATTGGAAATTGAAATAACGCGTGATACTATATAATTCAAATTTCTTCTCCCCGCAGTCCACGAACTACTCGTCTAAAAATTCGTCCAGTCTCAACAGATGGAAAAAAATGAGGAACTCATGGATAAGAGAATGCTGATGGAACATATCACTGCCCTCAAAACAATAATGTGCCACGAGGGAAGAACAAGAAGCGACATATTCGCGACTCGTTTGCGAAATTAAAAGACTTTTGGCGACCTTCCAAAACTACGCGCGGACTCGAATTTAAACACATTTCTCTTCGAAAATTCAGAATGCTCACCTTATTGGTCTTCACATTCTTGCTATATTCTGCAAGTTGCTCGGCTGCGGCGTCCCTCATCTTTTTTCGGTATACAATTTCAAACTTGAAAAAGCAAAAATTCAATACCCAAAATTTCCTATTCGAAACCTGAATTCTCACCTCGAAATCTGAATTAATTCCGTATGTATATCGAACTAGGAAAAATTTCTGCTGGAGAATGATTGACGAAAAATAAATCTTGACTACATATATACATACAAACGTTGACCATATGTAGTATCTGCATTATAGATAAATTCCGCGATTTCGAAATCGGGGCGATGACACCGATGCCATGACTTTCCGTAATGATGAAATTCAATTATCTCGGGATCACCATCACGAATACGAACAAAAATTCATACGGAATTTAGCACAACCACAACAATATCCAAATCACTATCAGCTCGCGATTATTCCGTTTCGAACTCTTACAATACCTCAAACTTGTTCAACTAAGTTCCAGTCACAACAAGTTGAAAATCTCAAGATTCCGATAAAAAGCCGGCCTTCAGATTTTTGCGTGAGTCACGAGATCAAATGACTGTTCACAAAAATGTCGCCCGACAAACTGCGCAATTAGCGGCGCAGAAATATCGAAAAAAACCGCTGTTACGCAATAATTCCTTCGAAACTTCGAGAGAAAAATACCTCATGCAGCCATGACAAAGAGAAAACATGCCGCGAGCAGAATTGACCCGTGACAACGCGAAATCGTAACACCATGAACAAGGCGAGAATTTCGCGTCATCCAGGGATCAATTGAAGCAGATTTAGCGAAAAATAAAAACACCAAAAATAAAGGTAGAAAAACCTAACGAATACACAACATCTATCCAGCGAACATTTCACACGACTGGCCAACCTCATCGAAATGCATCCACGTTTTATATGCGGAGCCTAACGCGAAAAAAAAATAAGTTTAGCCACATGAAGCGATCAAGATTCCAAGATCAACACAAAAAATAAATGAAGGAACCAGTTTACAATGAAGTCCACAAAAGAGAATGACACCTCACAGCAAAATTGAATTCAAGAAAATACTTCTCATTTGTCGATATTGATCCTCACCTGGAAGAGTTCAATCAAGTTTTTTCCACTTGAACCATGTAGCGTCCTCGAAACCACGAATTTCCTTTGCAACTACGCAGGAGTGGCCCGAATCACAAACAAATCGATTTGTTGGTGATTCGGGCGACACCTGTGCGAAAATTTAGAACGAACACCACGACGCTGATGATTTAAAAAAAGGTACGCCATGACGGACAGGACATGAATGTTTGTGTATTGATGAACCATCAGCAGCACCAAACTGAAATTTCGTTGAATTCGTCCCAAGCTCATCCACGAAATGAACACCTCAAATTTACAACAATTCAAAGACAAATTATCACAAAAAATTACAATTATGGAATAACCGTCCCAGAAATCCCCGTTTTTCTCATGTTCATCACAACGCAGTCCCGTTCAGAGTGGGTAAACTACGTTCGAAACTATACTCGAAGGACACCTTTTGAAACACCACAACCACGATAAATTCACAGACGGGCAGAAACACCCGGTAAGTCTAATGACCGAGAACAACAATATGACTAACGATCACGGCGTTCCGCTTCTTTCTCTCTCCCCTTTTTTTGTGTGACTGGAATTATAACTGAGCTGCAGAAAAGTGGAGTTTTTTCCCCCAGCACAATTCCTTTCGCTTCGGTTACAGCTTAGCTGACTTCCCTGCCTTGGTTTTCAACTTGTGCAACTCCTGCCTGATGGCTGCTCCGTATTTCGGGTCCGCCTTTGCGAAATTCGAAATCGCTCGTTCCTGAACAAATGATCCAGAAGTTACGCAATGGGA